TTGGTAGTTCTCTAAATTAGGGTCCTTTTAAATGGGTGCCGTACTACCTGAGGACCTACACGAGGATCCTAATTTAGAGAACTGCCTACATTGCAACATCGAAGAAAGTTGTCGTGGCGCCTAAATCATTCAGGACCCACAAGATTTGGCATGTGCTAGATCGCGCACCAGGGCAATGACACAACAATGCTGGAAGTGAGCAAGGGCAGAAGAAACGCTTCAAGTGGAGTCCTAAACCCTCTTTGCAGCAGGCTTCTCTCGCCCGGAGCCCTGAACCCTAAACCCTGAGCCTAAACCCTTACTAGTCCTTACCTCCCGAACCCTAAACCCTAAACCCTAAGCCCTGAGAGGGAAACCCTGAGCCTAAACCTTTACTAGTCCTTACCTCCCGCCCCAGGTGCAATCCAGTGACATCGCCTACCACGCCTGCATTGGCAGCTGCGAGAGCTTTGGCCGCACGAAGCTACAGTTAACTGTTTAGGGATTTGGGCCGGCATACAGCTCGAGTCCGTGCTCAAAGAAGGGATTAGGAGGGTTTGGCTAGGATTTAGGCATCGATGAGGGGTTAGGGATTGGTCAGTATTGGGATTTAGGATTAAGGGATGATTTTGCATGATGGTTCGTCTCATGCTAATCGTGGTAGCAGAAGCTTGCGCAGCAATGCCACCAGCATGGCGATCGTGCCAGTGTGGAAAGTCGAGTTGCATGTGCCACAGGACCTAAACCCTAAACCCTAAATCGTACTTATTGGGTGGGTGGGGGAAAAGCCGTGCTTATGGCGAAAGGAAAGCCGGCCAATGGGCGGCAGTGCTGCAGCTGGAGGCAGGTTCGGATGCTCAAAAGCCACGGTGGATGCCCCTACGATCCAAGTCTCACAGAACGTGTCAGAGTTTTTGGATTCTTGCAGGAGACGGCATTGCATGTCCCTGAAGCCACAAGTTCTGGGCCCAAGCCATGACAGAAGCCTTCCGACAGCAATGTTTGCTGCTAGCTTGGGCTCACATCGAATCTGCGGCATGTGAAGACGGTGCCGCAAGCAGCCTCTGCTGGGAACGCAATGAGATCACCCACGCCATGGAAGCAGGCACTTCCTTGGAGCAGGTCCTTAGCAAAGCCGAGGACTTCCCCCGCCTGTCTCAGAAGTTCCTGGAACTGCAAGGCTCGAATCCGACATCGCTAGATGTCGACTTGGCCGCCTGGGATTTGGTCGTGGCACATGGCGTTTTGTTTTACAGGCGCTCTTGAAACAAAAACTAAAACCGAACCACAACCAATCCTAAACCCTAAACCCTAAGCCTAAACCCTAAACCCTAAAACCCTAAACCCTAAACTCCCAAAACCCTAACCCCGGTAGACCAAGGCAGATGCCTTGGTCTTCATTCGCCTTCTGGCGCTCCTGCGGGAGCACTTCTACAAGCGCTGCGGCCGCTTTAGGTTGTGCTGTGGGTTTAGGGTTTACGGTAGTACCTATAGTCTCCATTGTAGTTCCTGTTTTGGTTTAGCCAAGTATATACTAAGGATCCTATAAGGTGACCCCAAAAAGAAAACTACAATGGAGACTACAGGTAGGGCTTGGGTTTAGGGGTTGGTGGCGTATCCAGGGAACCCAAGCCTTCCCCTTCCCCTATAGCAGAGTTGCTTCTCCTTCCCCTGTAGCAGAGTTGCTACAGCATAGGCATAAGACTCCTATGCAATCGCGACGCAAGCCAAGAAGTCAGACAGTTCTTTGGTATGAAGAGGTGATTGCAATATTCTGTCCTGCGAAGAAGGCTCAACTGCCCTCGAACCCTGCCTACGCATCTCTTTCTTCCGTCCTTGCCTCCTTGAACCTCAGGCCCCATGCTTGCATCCTCAAGCCCTAAGCCCGCCGTCGAGATTGCAAAGGTAAGGTTTTCAGGCCCTCAATCCTTCAGTCCTTAACACGTTTTTTGCAGCGCTTGAATACCCTATTCTTATTCAGGCCCCTATATTCGGACCCCTTATAGTAGCCCTTATAGGTGCCCGTATGGACCCCCCCTAAAGAAAGGAACCCTCCTCTATACTGAAGACAGCAAGAGACCCCGAGGATGCAAGACGGTGCAGAAGCTTTCGAGCCTGGGTCCTTGTTCAGGAAGTTGTCTCTAAGTTATGATCAGAAGGAAACCCCATCATGCACTAGATCCCTAAAATAGTAACTTTAATAAGCCTGCTTTGTCGAGTGCGAGTGCTAAAGGCTTTACTCAGACAGCCGTATTAACCTCATTATTTACTGTCGACCCCTAGTATAGGACGTAATGTAGTAGCTTAAGTTACGTCCCTAACAAGAACCCAGGAGCCAGTAGGGTTTGACATCCGCGGCGCCGTTCGCAGACTCGACGATGAGACTGGTGTTCACTTGGGCAGGGCGAAGAGCATTAACCGTTTGAGGAATCTGGGACCCTGTTAAGATTACAGGCCCACAGCGTGTCATGATGTGATTGTTTGCTATGATTACCCTGGCGAAAGAACGAGAGAGGGAGCAAGGCGAGTGACGGAGGGAGAGGGAGGGAGGGAGCTCGGGGCTGTCATAGTATTTGTATGTGTTTGTGTTGGCTTGAGCCCCGGAGAGCGACTTCTGCACAGCAGATATTGGCTTGGCCCAAGCATGCAAGCGGTGCAAACAGACATGACTAATTAACCTTCGGGCTGCAGGAACCTGCAGCTTCGTCCTTGAGAAGAGCATGGCTGTCAACATTATCAAGTGTCCCTTAGTGAGGAGATTCCTTAGTTAAGGAATGTGGAGATCATGTGGGGCTAGACCATTTTGGTAGAACTCAGGAATGCCTTCAAGCATCAGACTGCCAAGCGATATGGCCTTGGGGGGAAGCAGGCCAACCAGCACCCAGGCATCTATATGGACTGAGTCGGGTCGGTACGGGCTTGTGGCGATATACATTTCCTTGTTTTAGAAATATATAGGAGACAGGAAGCAATAGGCTTGTTCTTGGTATGTGCTCAAGCGCGCCTACACTGTCCAATTTAATTTCTGTTTGGGGAGACAGTAAGTGAAATTATGGTTGGGATCAACAGGGGTGATACCGGGTAAGCGAAAACAGTCTGCATCCTCGAGAAAGTCATCAGGGCCTTGATACTTCGCAGAGCGGGTTTGTTCACCTTCCCTGCGGGAAGTGGCGGGCACCTGCCCAGCAAGGATTGCCAAAACCATGAACGACCTGTCGCCGGACACGCTTGAGGACTTCTCGATGCTGGCCTCTGAGTTGGCAGGCAGAGCAACAAGCCCAGGGCTCTTGCCATGTACATAGCCCTCCACTCTCCCCAACATATTAACTTACATCTACTACAGTCCGAAACCCAGGCAACCTTTTGCAAGGACGCCCCAGTCTAGTTTCCGAGGCTCTTCTATTGAAGCCTTCCGTTGGGGAGTTCCCTGGGTTAGGAATCCCTGTCTCCCTCGACGAGTTGCTCGAAGACTACGCAACCGAGAGCGGCCAAGCCTTCGACGTGACTGGGGTCTTATTGAGGCCCTTAGGCTCCATGTACCGCTGTAGTGTAGCATGTGCTTCGGCCTTATGAGTAGTCCCTATATAGGCAGTATTAAGAACTAAGTATATACTAATATAGGTACATGGAGCCTTAGGGAGGAGGATTGTTTGTAACCAAGAGGCTTATCAGGGTGCTTGCGTCGGGCTTTATGAGATCTGCAAGTTACTTCACCGACCAAATTTATAGTTAAAGCTACCAGAATTCATACGGACATGTAAGCAAGCCCTCCCTGTTTAGACCTTTATACAAGTTCATATAAGCCCTCGTAACTTTTACCATGATAGCATACATGAAATCGCATAAACTTCTGCAAAAAGGCAACTCAAATTCAGCTCCTGGACCAGTCTGTAAACTGCACAGCGCAAAGCCCAACAAAAGAAAACCTCCTACGAATCCCACATGCTGAGGGTGCCTTTTTAATGGACACCTTTGTATGCTGTGGTTCACAAGTATGTTTTAGGGGGTGCCCTGAACCCTGTAAGCCCTAGACCCGAGCTACACCTTAAGCCCAAAAACCCTAACTAAACCTTCAAGCCGAAAAAGCCCGAAACCCCAACCACACCCTGAAACCTCAGCCCTAAGCCAAGACTAAATCCTAAACCCTAAAGCCTTGAATCCTACGTACATCCAAAACCCCCCCAATCCCGAGCCGACGCACCACGAACCTCGCCTGGCTTGTCCGAGTGTGAGCGCCCTTAAGCCCTAAGCCCGAAGTAAATCCTGCACTAAATCCGAGGCTTTAAATCAAAAGCCCTCAACCCTGGCTCAGACTCTGACCTAATCCTTATAGACTAAAGTAGAAGCCAGAAAGTTGGAACATCGTTCTCCTCATGCCCTCAAGGTAAGTTATAGGGAATCCCAGCACTAATCATCCTAAATTCATATTCCAACTTTCTGGGGTTCCCCTAAACCCTAAACCCTAAACCCTAAACCCTAAACCCTCATCACAGGGTTTAGGATCTAGGGGCCTTGCACGCCCGACGTGTCCCAGGTTGGCTCGGATCCAGATCTCAACCTCGGACGCCTTCCGTGAAGTCCTGGGCTTTCTGGGCTTTTTGGGGGGTTTAGGGTTTAGGGTTTAGGGTTTAGGGTTTCCGAAGATAGGGGACCCTAATATAGTACCCTAAATAATAGGATCCTTCTTATAAGGACCCCAAATTAAGGTACCCCCTTATTTTCGGAAACCCCTGTATATCCCAGACCTTCCCAACATCCCTTAAGTACGGAGTATGCCCTCAATCATGTTGGGGATCTCATTATAATTTTAGTTTAAAGGATGATCTTGGGGATCTCATTATAGTTTCAGTTTTGAGGTATCTTCCTAATTGAAGGGTTTTGGAAGGTCTGCGGTGTCTAGTATAGCTATTGTCGTCTCGACTGTGGGTCCGGATTGGGGTTATCTTACAGGATCCTAAGTATCAAGTGCGTTCATCAGAAAAGAACTACAATGGAGACTATAGGCAGGGTTTCCACTCTGGGGGTTCAGGGTGTATGTGTAGTATCGGGTTGAGGGCCACTTTCGGGGTTGAAGGTGTATGTGTTGTATATGGATAGGAGCAAATCATAGCAAGCGTGAAATTTGTTCCTGAACTGTTAACACTCAGAAGGGGGTTTCCGAAAATAGGGGACCCTAATATAGCACCTTAAATAGTAGGATCCTTATTATAAGGACCCCCAAATAAGGTACCCTAATTTTCGGATGCTCCCAGCAGAATGTGCAAGAATCTCCTTTGGGTTGGGAACTCTGGCTGTGCTCTGATGAAATCGAACACGCAAAGGGCACCCTAAACTTCAAAAACCTAGACTCCAGGAGACCCCAACAGCTTTGTGCAGCAGGAAAAGCAGCACCCAAAGTCTTAAGCCTTGAACCCTACACCTCAACCCTATGCCTTGCAAGCAAGGGCAGTTCCTACACACATTGCACGTGCGCTTCTTCAAGATGCGGGGCGCTCCACGGCCTCAACGCCTCGAAGAGGTCCAGCAGAATGTCTACCGGATTCGCGGCTGAATAGGCTATTAGGTTTAGTTTTGAGTTGAGGGTTTCTGAATAACTTCTCTTTCAGGGTTTAGGGCCGTTTAGGGTTTAGGGTTTAGGGCATTCTAGGTGTGTCAGGTGTTGTTTGGAATCTAGGATGCTTCAGTTATGTTTTTTCAGGAACTCAAGCTGGCCTGCCACGTTGTGAACAGGCGTGTGTAGGGATTCAAGCGGTTGCTTCCGTGGTTACTTCAGCCCAGCTGCTTACCTCCAAAGCAAGAGCCACCTAAACCTTCAGCCCTAAACCCTCCAGCCCCAAAACTGAAACCGAGAGCCCAGGATATTGCCCCTAAACCCTGGAGCCCCCAAAGCTTAAGCCGAGAGCC